GCTGGGGTTAAACCACGACACCACACATTGACAAGAATCCCTCTGAGCCTCCTCCTCTTCAAGCTGAACAGTCCCAGTTCATTTTTTCCTTTCTAATTCAACTCCTTTTTCAAGTTTAAATTATCATGAGAGTTGCCAATAAAATATACCATGAAAAGGGAACACATTTCATTTCTAATATTAGTAAAACTGAAACATTCAAAAAGGGAAATTCCCAACAGTAACACAAATACCTTATTTGTACACATGAAACACAGTACAACTAACACATTAAAGATTAATGCTAGGTTTAAAAGAGGATGAGACCAACAGCTACTGCTTTCCAGGGATTTAAAAAAAACCCTGAAAGGCTTTTGAAAATGTGTACAAGGTCTGTAGATCTAATTAAGCTTCTAAAGGCCAAAGCTTCCTTTTAAACGGAGTATCCATATATTGCTGAAAGAATACGAATATAAATAATTAGCAGACTTAAGACATTCTTTTAGGATTTTATAGTGTCATAGACTGTCATAAAATGTCATAGATTACCAAGTCTTTTATCAGTTTTACAATGTTTACAAACATGATGAACTTGCATTGAACGAGAGGAAGAATATGGATTCATTTACTCAACTCTTCACAACCTGAGAGACTTTGTAAATGAACATTATAATAAAAACATGTGGATTGAGCCAGAAATGAGATTCAACCTTCACTTGCTTTAAGTACTTCTTTCCTTTTTTTCTATGCTTTCAAGCCCTCTGAAAAGAAACCTCAATGAATCCAGGTTCACAGAAAAGTTTAAGAAAGACTGTATAATGTTCCAAATAAAAAAAGGCATTAATTCATAACCTTTATGTTTTCTTATTCTATTTTTTCTTTATTTAATAGTTTATCATTACACTGAGGTCTATTCTCCTTCACAGAGAAGAAGGTCTTCTCTGTGTACAACACAAAAACTTGGGGATTAAGTGAGCAGAAGCAGAACCTTGAGCCAACTCCACATTCCCATTAGTCCAGCTGACAACAGAGAGAAAGAATAACTGGCTACTCGAAACAGTAGCCAAACACTTTCTGATACAGAACAGGACAAGGCCCCTGATGTGAAACACTTCTATGAGCTCATTCCAAATCTAATAGCACTGTGCTGAACAGTATTTAATTATATATAGAATCAATACATGTGTGTACTCCCTCCTATAGCCTCCCTATAAAACACACAGAGCAATACAGTAGTGAAGAATTTTTCCATCTTTATCCTTTCCCTCCTATGTAATAGAATAGGCCTCCAGCTCTTGCTAAAAGCTCGTTCACAGTTCTCTTACAGTCATATTTTTCTCCTCAGCCAAATAATGATCAAAGCAAAGCTCTCAAGCATAAAAAAATAATTTTCTGAGCAGCAAAGTGAATTTCACATTACATTTCTGAGAAGTAGTGTAAATGAAAGGCTTAAACATGACATACAGAGAGGAGCAATCAGCAAGCTATGACTTTGAGACTACAAACACTTATACAAGAGGCATATGTCAGGTCTGGCTTTGAGTTTACACACTGGTGTACAAAATGTGCAGTGTTTATCACTGCAAAACAAGAAATTTGACTCCTTCCTTGGTGACAAATGGCAACAGGTATATTTTCTTTTTTCCCAGTACCTTTCTGCCACCTAATCAGTATGTGTGTGTGCCTCTACAGACTCATGCTTGTGCACTTACCCCTTGCAGCAAATAAATGGAGCGGAAAATCCATGTCTAGAATGACCCTTTCCTAAAATCAGTATCCTGTGACCTGAATGCAACAGTGTGAACTGCCAAGTGGGCAGTGCTAGGAGACACTGCTGTTTTTCTAAGAACAAATTTCCTGAATGCCACATTGAAGTTGTTGCAGCACTCCTGTCTGGGTTCACCGTGCACAGTACTTACGTGATGGTGTCAATCATATCCAGTCCCATTTCAACACAGCAATGGGCATGATCTGTTTTGGGCTGGGTCAATCCTGATACACAGTAGTAACAGTCCCCCAGGATTTTTATTCTTCTGCAATGGTTTTCCTTTCACAAAACAGAATGGGAAAAGTTATACTATTCATACAAATATTCCAATATTAACAAAGTAAAATTTCTCCAATACTATGCAATCATTCAGAGAATCTTTTTGTAGTCAAATCAAGCAACTTACAGTTCATGAAATCTAGATTCACTGTACAAAATAGCTGACATACACACATTTGTTTATTTATTTATTTATAAATAGACATATATGTACTGAAGAGCAGCCCTGCATTGTTCAACACACATGGGTTAACACTGCTTAAAACTATAGATCTAAACAAATTTAATTGCCTTGCCCCTCACACTACGTCAGTATGAATTCAAGATTTGCAATGAGACTTCATTTCTGTATGAACCCAAACCAAAGGACCAAAGCCAAACCACTACTGAATACTGGGAAACGTTTGCATCATGAGAAACTTTTGTTTCAAATTCAGTTCCAGTTTACCATGAAAGATTATGTATTTATCTGTAAAGGTACACACATTTGTGCATTACCAGTTCATAAATCACAATTTACAGTACAGCATGGTCAGTACGACAGACTTGCAGATCAGAAGCTACAGTCAGTTTGCATTGTCGTCAAATTTATCTTCTGTTTGCATGAAGTTTAATTTCTACAGCCAAAGAGATCTGGCTACATCTCCCATTTTTTAAAAAAACCCAGTAATGGCATATGATGACTGCTAGATAGGTCTGAGCAGAAAGTTCATTTCTAAACAGAGAGCACACAATAAAATGCCTTTGATAAAGCAGAGCCTCTAACTAATAAAGCTATAAGGAGACATGCAGAGATGATGGTATCTCTTGTAGCTAGATGATGGCAACTTCCACCCATTTAAGAGTCTGCCACAGAAAAGTAAATAACCTGATGAAATGAATCCAAGTTACACAGCTAAGACTCAGCCAGTAAGTGCCATGCAAAATTAACTGTTGTATGATGGAAGGGGATTAACAAAAATCCTTCCCCAGTAGTGTGCTTATATAGGCTTGACTTCAGTAACACAGAAAGAGAAAAAGAAGGGGCGGTGGTGATGGAATTTAAAATTCCTGGAAAAAAAATGATCTAAACACAGAATCATACTTGTTCAGCTTCTCATAACAGGCACATATTTTCATCCAGTCTCCTGACTACAGAAATTAAAGCCTTCCCGAGTTGGCCGCACTCTCCACATCATTACCCATATTCCAGCTTAGTAGCAATGGTTATGCCTACAGCAATGCTTTTCCCTCTACATGTCTCCATGTATACCAGCATTTGGGCTTGTTATTACACACTCTTCTTTGTAAAAAATACTGAGAAAAGGTACTGAATATTGAACAAATACTATAAAATGAGAATTGCCTCTGTTCACGCATGGAAGAAGGGATGCTAACAGTGTTTGGGAACATTGATTTGTCTACTTCTTTTTATAAATCACACAACAAATTCAGTTCTTGACTCAAAGAGAGAGCTGGGGTTTTGGGTATGCTTAAGTAGTAGAAAAGGCCCTTCCAATAGAGACAATTTAATATTTCTTCTGTTGTACAGCAGGATTTTAAATATACCATTATTTATCATTGCTAACATATATTTTAATGAATACAAGCATAATTACATATTACAAGGATTATCACCAGAGCCTTAAGAATATTCCCACTGCTTATAGCCACAAAATGGCTCATCAGTTTTACTTAGACTTTTTGAGATTCTTAGCTTAATGGTATTATATAAGTAAATTAATTATTGATGCACCCAAAGTAATATGCAGATCTTAAAATCCATCTTGACGCGAAACAGGCTTTTGGATAGTAATCACTTTTTTTTTTTAGTAAAAACCACTAAGTTTTTTATTAGTGGTATTATACTGTCAAAATCAGCCATTTTTTTTCTTTTTAATTTTGGCCAAATCTTGAAGCAGTAGAGGGTACTCAGTAGATAAAGCTGGAGTCTATTTTCAAAATAAATTCTGTTTTGGCCCACACCTTAAAATCCTCTATAAGGCCCTTTTCATCTTCAAATTTGGTATGTGTGATTTGTGACCAGGCAATGACTATTTGACCCATACAAAAGCTACTCATAAATGCCATTTCAGTAAACTGGGGTGATCAATACCTATGAGTTAATCAATCAGGAATGTCTCTTAGTAGTGTCTACCTCCCAAATGGCTCATTTCTAATGACTTGGTAACAGCCTGGTAGACAGTTTAGGAAAGGAAAAAGAAACCCAAAACAGAGCTTAATCCATTGCCACTCTTCCAAGTCAATTTATTACTTGTGGGAGAGAAAAATAAAAGAACTGCAGCAGTATTTTCTGAAGACATATTTATCTTGATGGAAGTCATATGGCTAAATCACCTGCTGTTTTTGCAGCCAGCACTCTGTTTATTCCTTTTCACATGTTATCCTCACTGTCCTGATTTATAATAGTAAATTAATATACAGTAATCTCTAGAAAAATTGTTTGTTTTCTTTTTCTTGACATGTGAGGCAGACTTCCAGGAAAGAGTCACAGTGCAGCTTGTAAGAGCATCTTTTTAAGGATTGATATGCAAATTAATAAAACAAACTCCTTCTCTAGCTTTGTTTTGTTTCCTCAGCAACTTCCAAAGAAGTCTTTGAGTCGGCAATATTTTTCACATTTGTGACAGTGATGAATTCAAGTGTGATTGTTACAAATTCTAGGCACAGCTGATACAAGCAATGTCTGTTTAGAAACAAATGGTAATTTGGTTTTATGCACATGACAAAAAGCACTAGAGATTGCTAGCACTGCATTAGTCAGGCAGCTTGCCCACCTGCGGTGCCTTAGTAAGATGTTTCCAAGTGGATCTGCAGAAATCCTTCTGGCACAACTCTCAGTCACAGGGTTTGTCAGTGTGTAGTGGAAGCTCAGCTCAGTAAGCAGAGGATACTTCGAAGTTGCTAAGAGCTCTTCCACACTTTCGGACAAGTTCTTTATAAAGCAGCTCATTCTATCCATCTATTAGGTAGAACGAGGGGGGGGAGGTCTGTTTCAAACAATTCTGGGTTTTTGTTGTAGTTCTTTATGTGATGCATTTTACAGAAAGAGTGAAGTCTGCCAACTCTGACTGAAAACCTGAAAATTTGAACCATTAACTCCACACAAGTCAAATGTTGTTTTATACACACAGGGTAAGGGTATTTTTTAATAAAAAGGGAAAAAAGAACAGGAGTTTAATATATATAGATAAATATATAAAAAGGTTATCGCAAAGAAATAACAAAAAAGGTGTCAGACTTCTCCCAGCAAAATATATAAGCATAAACAGACAGTCAGATGTTCTCTAGAACAGAATAAGTGCAAAGACTTTTAAAGGAGGATCTTTGTCAGATATCAGACTGCAACAATCCTTATTGTTGCTGCTGGGATTTTCGTTTGTTTGGCTCTGTAATAGGCTATCTAAGTAAGTAATTGCTTGTTTCCTGATAGATGAATTTTTGTTGTTTATAACACTGTCTGGTAGGAGAAGAGCCTCTTTAAAGCTTTTATCTATTTTAGAGATGGCAGACACCAGTGCAGGAAAGAGTCCCTTCTCTTCCTTCTGTCACTGCAACAATCCAGGTATTTCTACATACTCATATGTCATCATGGTGTGTGAGTACCTATCAAAGTGAGCCAAAAAGGAAGGTCGGATAGACTAAGATTTTAAAAAGCAAGATTTTAAAAGCTAAACATTGAACTCTCTCTTGCAACTCCTCTAACTCAACGGAATTTCATCAAGGATGAGTCTGACTCTCTGTGACTTAATTACAATCTATTTTATGCTTATTATACACATCCATTTCTTTGTCTGCAAGCCTGCTAGTAACCTCACTTGCAGGTATGTTCCTCAGACTTTTACTGACCTACCCTCCTGGAATCACAGTCTATGAGCAGAAGGGATTTTATTTATCCAGAAGTTAGAAAGACACATTTTTGCCATTCCTAATAAAAACTGCATCATCTAAGATACATAGAAAGGTTCTTTACCATATTCAGACAATTTGGATTTAGTTATGTTTTGCAAAGCAAAAGAAAATATTAGTAAGGCCTATAAAAAGATGCATAAGCAGTGATTCCCATTTCCTCCAGCTCAGGCCCTACCAGTCTTACACTCCCTCAGAATGCTATAGGCATGAGCAATAATAACATTTAGCTTTGTTTAGGCTAGAAAAATATGAACAGGAGTTTTGTCACTACCTACAATGCTAGTGATTGCAAGTTAGAGTGTTAAAGAAAAAAAAAGAAAAAGAAAATAGAAACCCAAACCCAACATATGTTCAGGTTCAGCTATTTAAATGTTGGGCCAAAAGGGAGATCAAGTAGGCTTTAGGGTCTCAGAGTAAGGCTTTGGCATACTCACCCTACCTCAGACTTCAGCAGTAGTGAGATCTGTAAACATGGCCCCTGCATAGCTGCAAATTAGAGCAGGAGCAGCACTGCATGCAGCAGAGGAGTGGAAGAAGATGGATGCACTGGCAGCACAGCAAACAGCTCTTGAGCTCTGAAGCCTTTCAAGCTTCCCCCATCCATTCTCTGTCTGAATCTGTTTGAATCTGTGTGGGGAAAAACATTGCCCTACTCCCTGAAAAAAATAGGTTAATGTTTTCTTGATGTATTGAAGAGAAGCATTGTGTAGAGGGAAACCACTGAATGCAAATCTCTGAAGGCTCAGTTTTCGCTGAGAGTGGAATTAATTCTGGGGGGAAGTGGTGAACTGTGAGGACTGAAGAAGGAATATAGATGAGTCTCCCAGCTCTGCTGTCAAGATCTTCATCATTGGGGCCAGGCAGTACCACAGAGGGTACCCTTCCTTACAGGCATTCCATGAGCCAAAAGAAAGATCAGTGACCCTGAGGAAAGGACCCCTCACAGAAGTACTTTGTGGGGCTTTTTCCCCTTCCTATTTTCTTGTTTCTTGGATTACCAGTCATCTTCTTTTGGAAAGCCTCATTGCAACAACTTCCTCTGAGCAGCTTGCTGTACTAAGAGCTGAATTGTTTTTAACAGGTAGGCA